TCCAGTCCCTTGAAGACAAAGGCAGCCCTGTAGGAGCCATTTGGTTTAAAAGTACATAAAATATTTATTCCATGTGTCACTACACTTTATCACAATGAGTATTCAGACATCTAGTGTAGAAACTAAGGCCAGACCTGTATCACAATAGTCACCTACTTCTTCAAATGAAAGCATGGGAACTGGTGTTTGTTATTTTGGGACACAGATAACCATGAGATAACTACATTCTAATAACACTGAAAACACATATAAACTGTACATGTGAAGAAACAAAAATATGGATCCGGACTTCATTTTAAAAAATAATTAAAACCCACAAACCCCCCCAACCTTACAGAAGGCTAATCAAACTGCTTGTTTCAAAGTGGAAATGCTGAGCCAAAGGATGTCAAATCCTTGGACTGAAGAAAGTGGTGAGCAAACTTACAGTGCAAAGATGGCTTTCAGAGGAGCAATGAGCTTGGAGAGGAAACTCAAAAAAAATCAGAAGAGGTAACTGGGCTTGGCTGGCGTAACCAGTTTTCTTTAAACTTGGACACTGGAAAGCAAGCAACTATAAAGAACAGTCTTAGCTGAGGTGATTAATTTTAATGGTTGTACATAGCCTCAGAGAAAACTGCTCCTACACGCATTTGTCTGACGTCTATTCTTCTTGTTTTGACTGGAGAGGACATGGGTTAGAACTTGCATGGTAAATAAAGTTTAGCATTGCAGCACCATACGCAAGTATTTATGAATTTTCTCTTCACTCATCAAACACCTTCATGACAAAAGCAAAAAAGGGAAAATACGAGATGAAGATGACATTTGGCAGCACAGGCCCTATTATGATGCAAAGCAGCTTTCTTACTCTGCACAGAAAGAACTCACTAGTTTTGAAGGCACACATTTCCCAGCCTTTTTATCTAGCTGATTTCCAAGCCTCCAAGTGATGAACACCTTTCCTATAAGAAGCTTCTTGCCCCATAGGCCCCACTCCCTAACATTCATTCTAACCTTCCCAGCAGCTCCTTCCCTGTTACCAAATGGCAACACTAAAATAAATTGCTTCACAATAGAAAAAAACACATCATAAAAAGCAAAGGCTTCACTTATGAGAAAAGAACATTATGACTACATAGAAGTAACCATATAATCTGTTATTAACTGTAAGGCTCATAAAACTTCATTAATATCTCAATTATATCACCTCTCCAGATTATATAATAAAACAGCATAATGAGCTTAACTTGACAAGGCTGAATACTGCTCCTCTTTTTAAAAAGCTTTTTATAAAATTACATTCCCTCCTAATATTTGACTTGCAAGCACTCTAAAGACACCATGTACAACATTAAAAATAAACTTCATTTTCCTACCACTGTTGCTTATCAGTACCACAGTATTCACAAGACTTTCTTTTTAAAGACATCAGCTTATACAAGCATCTTCTCGTGACAATAGGTGCAATGCCATTTGCAACACTTCTAAAAGCTAAATATATATTTTTATATTTTTTTCTAGTTCCCCTAACATTTTTATTAACCTGTTCTCAGTTCAGGGAAGACATGAAAATATTTTAATCCTATCTTTAATAAGAAGATACTACAAGGAATGAGCCTGTATTGCCAATGGGTCATGAAGAACCCAAACCTTTATTATCAGTCACACAGTGAAGATACATGCAATTACTGCAACTATTTACTGAAAACACACTTGCTAATTCTGTGACTGGCAGTGACATACTGTGCTGGGCGCTGGCTGGTGCCAAGGCAGCTGCCAAAAAGCTGCAAGTCCAAAAAGGGGAAAGGAAAGGATTAAACTATCATTCCTGTTTCCAAGAATAAAGTACTCTAAATGAAACGAGTCACTTGCTAGGTAATAATTTTCTGGTGTTTATATGGTAAACTTCTGTAAAGTGAATTGCTGTTGGCATTGCCAGAGTTTACAAAGCAAAAGAGACTTGCCAAAAGGCAGCTTCACTGAAAGTATTGTTCAAGTAAACATGGAATGGAAAGTCATTAAGCAAAATGAACAGCTAATTTTGCCGTGATCATATCAGGAACATTGAGTATTTTCACTTAAACCTCAGAACCTGAGGTACAAAAGAGCACAGAGTGATCACGGGAAACTCAGCAGCACGTAGAACAGAATCCTGGCTATAGTTCATGAAAGAATGGAGTTATTTTTGCCAACTGAAAAGAATAACATGTCTCCAAAGCACACTGTTTTCACTAATGTTGTCACACAACTACATCTTTAGTCTAGATGTGCACGAATACTTGCGCACTTAATGCTCAAACTCACACTCCTCTATTTTTGTTTCTTTTGCAGATTAAACAGGAAAACAGCAAAGTATCCAGCTTAAGTTTTCTTCATGCAAGTAGCTCAATAATTGGTTTTCTTTTTGAAATCCCTCTGCCCAGAAAACCACTTGTGTAGCTAGGATGAATGGGATCAGCCAACACACATCTGCACAATAAGTGAGCAGAAGAAAGTCAGCATTTCCAAGGATGTTCCCAATACTACATTGTGCAAAAAGGAGATTCTGTCCCCAGTTACATATATTTCATAAACACTGGAAACTAGTATTCAGAAAAAAGTTCACAGGTTCATTGGTCACAGATGCTCATGAGGTAGTTTGTAACCAGAGCTGCTCTTATGCCAAAAACTGTCTACAGGAATCAAGAAATCTTTCCCCTCCATCACTATTCAGACGCTATATCAAGCCAAACAAGGAAATCTTTTCAAATAATTTCTGAACACCAAAATATTGATAAAATTGCCATTAGTAGACTAGAATTAAAAATAATAAATTTTAAAATTTTTCTAAACTTACATTTCAAAATTTCTTAAATTTTCAAAGTGTGAAACTACAACATAAAACACATGAAAATACTGAAATTTCCTTCCAACAATTAAAGATTTTTTCAGTATATTCCTACCTCATTTTCTAGCTAACATGGTATAGTTAAAGCAATTGGTGATTTAATTCTGCAATAAATTTCCTTTCACTAACCTTAATCTTTCCTTCCCTATGATACAAGCTGCTTCTTGCAGATGTTTTCAGGAAATAAAAATGTAACACTTAATGACTTCAAAACTCATAATTCTTCAGTCACCGTGAACATGTCTATTTGTCTGAAAAACATTACTCACGTACAGAACTTTCCTAATTTAAATTCTAATTTATGTTCACATTTTAATTACACTGGTATCTGTTTGAAATGCTGCTGAAGAAAGAGGATGTATTACAATGGTCTGCATTATTATATATGGCATTATTAAAAAATACAGCAAACAAACCAACCTGTTATTTTGTAGCATAGTGTATTCCTGAGCACCTTCAAGTACTTAAAAAAAAAAGCTAAACTAAATTGTAGTGCAGCACAGTATACATACCAACTGCACAATGATTGATGGCCAAAAAAACAAGGGAGAAAATGTTTACTTAAGAACATCTGAAGTATCATCTGCACCCCACTGATTCCAGGGCTTCAAGTGACAGACCATCCATCTTTAGGAAAGCCTAAGCCACAAGATACGACTTTGTGGGGCTGAGATGGCTAACACCAGTCCAAGAGACACAGGGAGTGACTGGCAGGGCAGACTTGGGGGTTCAGAACTTGTTTTCTTTGCCTTAAATAGCTCAGATGTGGTAATCAAGATATATTCTGTAGTTCTGTTTTACAGAGGTTTAGGTAAATGTTAATCTACTAAATTAATTACAATTAAAAGGAAATTTCCCACATACGTAATTAGAGCTTCTGAGATTTTTAGGCAGATCTTTAGTTATTTTGTGATCAAAACAATACATATAGATATACTAATAACAAAAATCCCAGGTTACAACACAAGGTATTCACTGTCATAACAACAGCAAACTGAGGGAGGAACAAAAACCATGTTGAAAACTGATGAATTACTATAACACATTAATTTTCACTTACATTCTCAACACCCTTACAAGTCCATGGCACATCATGTATATGGAAAACATCTGCTTGAATTAACTAATTTTTAGGCAACATTTAATCTCTTTCTTGTAGGCACATGTGAGGTGAACCCCTCATCCCAGCCCTCTGCTCACAGAGTTACAAAAATTGAGGTTTCCACTACCAGCCTTAGTTCTCCACTCTTTCCACATTGCAGCATTTTCCAAAGGACTTCTACTGAGTTCAAGAGCATCCAGCCAGTTTTTGCAGTCTTTCAACCTGCCCTATTTTTAATATATGTCTGACACTATTGTGCTTCTCCTGGGAACATGAAATAGTTTATGCAAGACATTCATGAAGGAGAGCAAAACAGGACTATGATTACACCTTGGAAAGTTGTAAGGACTCCCCCATCTTATGAGGTCCCTCAGGATTCTGGACCCATCTGGGGGCAAAAGATTGTCCTGTACTGATCTTTTGTCATTCAGAGCAAAGGCACTCATTCGTAACAGATCCCTGTAATTAGTCCTCACGGACAGATATTTTGCAGGACACAGTATCAATCAGATATAGGGCTAGGTTTGGGAATTTATTACTGAATAGGGTTTCTTAGGATTTTACATTGCATTTCATGCAGACCACTGCAAAATATTTTGAATTAGAAAATTTAACTCATTGTATCATACCACATCTCAAAAGGGAGTTATTAAATAGGGCATTTTTCTTCCCTTCCTATGCTTGCCATCTACTGAGGCAGTTACACTGATTAAATAGTCTAATGTTATGCTCAAAGTCCCATGAATTTCCTGGTTTCCATGAAGTACCTTTTTAAAACTGGATCATGAAAATAGCACTGGGAGAACTCGAAATGCAAAACACCCTTCAATTTATTTACAGCAAATCAAGGGTTCTTAATATTTATTTTCCTTATTAACTGTTCTCTAGACAGTCTGTACAGCATTTTTTCCTCTGGAGATCCACTATAACCAGGGAATAGAGATAAATCTTGATCAGAGTCTATGGAAAAATCATCTCAAGTGAACAGTGGGACACTTGTTTTTAGAGGGGATACAGAGCAGCACTTACCCTGCTGACTTCTTTAGGAGCAGTTTCATCTAAAAGGAAACAAACCAAACAATTAGGCACTCTAGGAATGAATGAAGAACTGATAACAATCTGAATGAAGAACAGATAACAAACTTCAAACAATTTCTGCACATTTGTACAAAACTTTCCTAATATGGTTTGATCAAGTGATCGAAATATCCTGAGACTGGTTTGCATTTACAATCTTTTAAAAACTTCTAAACCTAAAAACCAGTTAAACTAGGATAAAGTACTTAGGAAGTCTACCCTGGCTTAATAAGAATACAGAATTTCATACATTTCAGAATTCCTGAGAGAAGGTGGCACAGGCCAGTTAAACACTAAATTTATATTCCAGTTCAGTAAGGGTATTGTCAGTACTGCATAGTCTGCAAATTAAAAGCCTTTGCTACCAAATATATATCACCAACATCCTACAAGGAAGCTAGTGAGCAGACTTAGACCCTCTGTTCTTATATCAAAGATGATAGTCCTGTTGACTTCTTTGGATGTGGAAAAAAAGTCTTGTAGCCATAAAAAAAGAAGAATATCACTGATGAGATCTGGCATAACATGTTAAAAAAAATAGATTACAAGATTATATATATATGCACACAAACTATAATGTTTTGTTCTTTCAAATGAAAACAGATTTTCATGCATTTTTATTAAGCTTAATACATATAAATAAACACAGGTAAAATATCAGAGCTAAAACATTAAGTAGTTTTTCTGAAAAATGCAGGGAGTGCAGCTATACAGTAAGAACACTTCTGCTACAGGAGGAGTTTCCAACTTTCAGTTCAACCACACCAAAAGTAGCTTAAACACACCTTTACAAACCTCCAGCTGGTTAGGTGTTTCTGAAAACATGAAGAGAACTATTTGTAACCTTTTATTTGCTCCTAGGAGTCAAATTACTATACTTCAGAAATTAAAATTAAGTCAGGAAATAGATTGAATTCACAGAAAATATCATATGATTATATTTGTCAAAGGCTCTTCATATCTTGCCATTTTAAATGAATTTTTAATCAATAAAGGTAGAAACTCTCAGATTTTCTAGCAAACACATTTAATACACAATTTCTGATTGAAATAATTCTCTTCTGAAAGAATTCTCTATAGCAATACAGATCTCCCCTCAAAACTGAGTGGTGCTAAGGAAAATAACATATTTCACAACCATGAGCGAATATTAGCCTCCTTTTAATCCCAGTCAAATTATATGCCACTAATTTACATGCAGAAAACAGACAAATTTATTTGACTATTTAAGGCAGTTCTGTTGTTTGCAGGGCAATGTGGAACACATGCTCTACCATGTTCAGTGATGTTACCTTCCTGAACCACACAAATCTATATACCAGTTACAAAAACAGCCAGAGCAACACTCAAAATCCCTGTCTCCTATTACCTGATTTCTGACACTGAGCAACAGGAAACATGAGCAACAGAAAGCAGAGTGATTACATGACACTTTCCTTGGAGTGTACTCTCAGTTTTCAGTAACCAAATAGATCAAACATTTCTTCAATCAGTGGTGACACTTTTCTATTTAAAGGATGGGGTTTTCTTCCTCACACTTTTGTCGGGTAGGAGGGGTGTTAGATTTTGTTTGGCTGGTTATTAAACCTGAGTCACCAGTCTTTAGCATTCTCAAAATGCTATGAGCTCCACAGTTCAAATACATAATACCAGAAAAATTATTTTATTTTGAATCTGCGCACTACGTATTTTATCTGATTCCCTCTATTCACCTTATTCATGGAGCCTGTGATTCTACAGATCGCTGAAGAAAGTCCTTCTCTGCTCCATCTAGACCTTTCCTGGTTTGAGAGGTCTGGTCTGACTTGCTAACTCTCACCACTCCTGCTGTCCTACTGCATCTTTCTGGGGTGGGAAGCCCAGAATTATAGGCAATACTGCAGCTCAGAAAAACACAGCTAGGACTTACGGAATGACACAGGGATGATTTAGGGAGTTTCTCTCTATTGGAAAATAATAATTCCTAACATTTTACATGTTTCTTGATAATTACTGAACCCTGGACTAATATTTTCAAACATTTATGTTCTGTAATACTGATATCTCTCTCAAAATTATAACTAAGACAACCTCCTCCCCCTCCCCCCCCCCCCCCCCCCCCCCGCACTGTATGTGTAAAATTACTTCCCCCATGATATAAAGTAGTCAGTGTTTATCAGAACTAGCTTTTCCACCTCTGTTTTAGCTCTCACTCACCTTGGGTAACTGTGTCCTAAAAAAAATTAACAATCATATCTTCCAAATTAACTTAAACCCTACATCAGCTTACCCAAGTCATGATAAATATATTGAAAAATGGGTAAATCATACTTGTGATCTTCCTCTACTAGAACAAAACCAATGTATTGTAACATATGGAATATAAATTACTAACACCACAATTCACCATTTCTGCAATTTCAGCTTAACTACCTATACAATTCTAATTAACGACTGCATAGTTCGCTACAGAAACACATAATAATCATTATAGTAACTAAAGGCAGCATCCATCTGGGAAAGCTTCCATACTAAACCCAGTCATAAAAGATAGGAAGAAGCAGAAAATAAGAAAAGAACTGATAGAAAACAAAAAATCCGCTGAAGTTTTTTGTTCAGCACAGGATACATGGGGCTAGGTTTAGTTTGGCTTGAGATTCTTTCTGTTGGTGTGTGTGTGTGAAGAGGTGTTAAATTGAGTAACTGTTCATTAAATAGGAAAAATTCAGATTTCATTTTGCACATTAAAAAAAAAATCCCATTTCATACTTAGATTTCTATGCATGCATTTTAATAAACAAAACAAAACAAAGGCAAATAAGTTTTTGACAATTGCAAGATGCTAACACAGAGCAGTCACAAAGAAAACTTTAATGCAAAAGAAATTTTCAGCATTTCAGACATGACATATTGAGGCATTTACCATGGAAACAATTATTCTAATGCCCAGTTAGTTTTATCACAGAAACTATTCTGCAAAAACAATATCAACTTTCTCCCTGGTCTTACACTGTTCTTTTTTTTCTGTGTAGTTAAATACTGCTGTTGGTACACTAATGTTGCTGATGACAGCAAACAAATGCTTAGGATTAATTCTGTTTGAGATCCCAGATAGGTCTACAGTCAGTTTCCTAAGGAACACTTTCCCACACAGCAGATGTCAGATTGACCTAATAATTTTTCTTTTCAAAATTTGCTTTAGGCTTCAGATAATAAGACACAAGTTACTTATGATGCAGTTAGACCAGCAGAGGTTCATTTGCTGATTTTTTTTTTTTTTTTACCTTGAAAAGTGTCATACATCTGTAGATCAATAGAAATTCCACATCAACTAATGTAGATTGTTTAAAGACTGATCTCACCACCCTGAAATAAAGTTTACCAGGTTTACTTAATCTCTGTGGTAGAACAGCATCAGTCAGATGAAACTGGCCAGTCTATTTTAACTGCAATTTGCATCCTTATTTTAGACATCTTGAATCTGGCAGCTTCTGTCTCCACTGCATTTGTAGGATTTTTCAAAGATACCTTAGCTGAGAGTGGGTTTCCTAAAGCAGTAACTATCATATATATATAACAGAAATTTCAAGCCATCACTCAAAAACATTCTTGCTTCTTAATGCACAATCTCAGTAGGGGTACCAGGACACCTCTCCTGATTTTCAACAGTCTGGATTAATCTCACAATTCAGAAGCACTTGTGTTACTCCACAGAAAACTAATTTTGTTTGTTTAAACATAGACCTAGACATTGAAAGGGAATATTCATGAGATTGATCATTGGTGGCACACTGTGTTTCTTTCCCTGAAGAAGGACAAAACATGAATTCTAGCTATTTTACATGAACAATAAGATCTACACTGTTATTTTTAAGTGCCTGAAAAAGGATGCTCAGTTCTTCCTCTTCTTAAGTAACATGCATCAGACAATATATAAGGCATGAACTTCACTGCAGATGGTAAGCAGAGAAACATATTGTCTGCCAGGTGTCCTAACGTTTTAATTCACTCCTTCCCATATAATTGTGTCCAATGCACAATTTGCAAACAGGGCACTACAGAACAGAATTCAGGAGACTGTGCATTTGACTTCATTAGACATACCTAAATCTGGTACATTTGGAAACTTATTATTTTCTATGGTCTTAGCCCACATTAAACTGATGAAACAGTTGGAGCAATTTTGCAGGATGGCTTATTCTGGCCAGAAAACTTCCAAAAGGCATCTTCTGAAAGTATCACCCATCCTCGTGAGAACAGAAAAGCATGAGTAAGATCCAGGGTTTTCTTCTGTTTACAAAATTGCTTAGTACTACAAAACATACTGATAGATGGTAGCTCCACACATATACATCCATGATCATAAAAATCCTCAACCGTAAAACATATGTGGCAACTTAAACTAATCTAAGAAGGGCATTTCCACATCTGCTAAAAGCTCCATAAGATTCTATAGAAGTCTCTCAAGTCTAATATACCTCAGCAAAAATCATGTTGGAACCTGGGCTCTGACCTTCAGGAAAAATCTTAATAGTTTCCAGCAGTAAATATGCTTTACCAAGAAGGTGTATGATTGTGTTTTATGGTAATTAGCCGATGACTTCATATCCTATTCAACAGGGCTGTTGAATGACAAGAGTGTTAAACTGGTTAGCTCATCTATATTATCAGTCAGCGAGGTGCAATCACCATGGTTTATGACCAGAATGCAGCCACAAGACAATGGCTGAAGAGTGTGTAAAACAGTTGATCATTGTTTTGTACCTACCAGTTCACAGCTACACCTTTATGCCCACATCTACTGCCTTTCTTGTCCAATGCACAATTCTGCCTGGCTTTCACTCCGCTAGCTGCGCTGCAGCTTTCTTTAAAACTGATTATATGTCATGTCAGCATGTTTGGTGAAGGAAGACTCTCATCCAGTAGCAACACAATTTCAGAATGACTCTTTAAATCAAATTTGATTCCCCTCCCCTTTTTTTTTTCTTGTTCCAGAAGCCCT